GTCTCTTTCACAGATCCCGGTTTCCTCAAGTCTCTGTTGTCCACACGGTGGCGCTGCCTCACTATGTACTCGTACGTACTGAGCCTGTTCCACACTGAAACACACATAAGTAAACATACATTTCCCCAGACCCTTGAACCCCGACATGGCCTTTAAAGGTCTGTCTTTGTGAAGAGAAAGAGGAAGTGGACTAAACGTCCTCAGAGGACCAGTTAGAAACACACACCCACAGGATTTGTTCTGAAACACTGACGGGGTCTTGCAGCATTACCATGAGGTCAGAAACAAAGATTTAATAACCTCCGTGAAAGCGTAGACAGCACGAGGAAGGAAAAACTCTTTATAGCTCCTTCTCCTTCATGCTGCTAGATAAACAAATAAATGTACGATATACTGCCAGCATCACCTGAATGTGAGTGAAGTTATCAAAGAGAACATTTTTTTTAACTGAATTTTCTCTCCTGGTTTTATCGAGCTGCAGACGAGTGATGTGTCTGACTCAGACCGCTTAAGCCTCATATTGCATTTAAATAAATGAACTCTGCAATAAATCTTTACAAAGAAGGCAGACTGTGGATTTTATGCTCAATTCCCACTGAGCAGCACATCAGGTCCAATCTGAAGAAAAGGAATTATTAAAGCAATAAAAATGCTGACGGCCCCCCAGTGCTACCCCTCAAAACCTTTAGAAAATGCTCACGTAAATATCTGATTGTTTACAAAATAAAAATAGTAGTAAAACTAGTAAAACTGATGCAAACTCACAGTTTTGTGGATTGTTATCTCTTTATGAAACCTAAAGACAACAAATGGATTCTGAAACAGGAAAACCTATTAGTTACTTTGAAAGAAAATGCTGTTTTGAAGGGATCTTTTTTTGCCCCACTGTCATAAATACAGGAGCCATTCTACAGACTAACGTAACGTGTTGCCTGTGAACTGCACTGCCTGCATTTCATAAGCATGCTGTACCTGCAGCAGATCACCACAGAAACTTAAATCTGTGATGTGCTAAAATCAGTATGTTATAGAATATGTCTGAGGCTGAGCTTCACTGGGATCATTTTTACATACGTTTAGAATTTTGAAAAGATTTATTATGAACATCAGACATCACAACATTAACTGCTGGGCAGAAAATAAAGAAAAGCTTCCTCTTGTCAAAGATTTGACACGTAGACAGACAGGC